ACACCATGGCTAACGAAGACAAGCCTCCAAATGGCTGGGGAACATTTTTTCCCCCTCTCTCTTGCTTCTGTTGGAGAGGATTTTTCTGTCTCCCCCAATATTTACTTTGCTATGGGAGAATTTCCTGACCCTTACCACACTTTAACTTCTGGAAGAGCAGTTTCCCTCTAGATCTTAATTGTTTGGGGCGAGAATGAGTGGCTGATTTTCTGGTTGCATGGCTTTTAGCTTAATTCTATGTGGCTGATCTGTGAGCTGGATTTATCAGTTCATAAGAGCTTATTTCAGGTCACGGCTTCAGCAAAACTTTCCCACAGCTCATTGACATTCAGTTAGCTCTGGAAGACCCCACCACTGATGGTATTACATACTAGTAAGAAAGACAGATTCCAGACCAAGAAACAAGGAGGCTTCAAAAAGCCAAACACAACATTGTGCAGCTGAAGGAGAGGGAATTTGAACTTCCAAAGTGCAATAGGCACAAGAAAGGACCTTTAATATTTAAAAAATGTATTCAACATGTCACAGGCTTAAATGCTTCTCTTGCTGACCTAAGTTAATAAATCTGTTCACCGAAAATTATCAATGTAGTTTTTGAATTCTGTCAGATCAAGAGAGAAGGAAATGAAAAGAAAGTTAAGAAAATCTTTGAAGGTCACATTCTGATTATGACCTCACATCTAATTCAGCTTCAAATATTTTTAAAGCACCGGAACAATGTTGCAAATACAGGAACTAGGAGTTCAAAGGTTGATCCAAGGACATAACATAGAAAGATCAAATTTATTCACCCAAACTCCAGACCCTTGGTTCCCAAAGGCCAAATCACTTAAGGTGAACTCAGTTTTCATCAGTATTTTTAGACTATAGACTATATGGCCAAACGATTAAACGAGTACCTTTTTGCTGTACATTCTAGAGGCACTTGATAAGTAAGTGCAGAAAATACTGACCCAATAAATATCAAATTAACTATTTGTAAATTTTGCTTTTATCTGACAGCTTCTCAATAGATCATTTTGCACACAGGCCATTAAGTTGTGATAAAATACAGAATAATAATTAAAAAACTAATGTAAAAATGGAACTCAAAATTTCCATTAGTTTTTACTTACATGCTTTTTTAAAAATCAGCCCGCTGGAAATATAGTCAGTGGATATGATCTGTTGGTACGACACTCATCCCTTGCTTAAGATGACCCCAAAAGTTCATTAATTGTGCAATGTGTGAATTCAAAAACAAAGCATTTGAGAGTAAAAAAAATAAAAATAAAAAAAAAATCACACTTGTGCAGAAAGAATGCAGAGATCCAAATTGTATAAATTACATTAAATCATCTTGCTTTGTACTAGGAACCGAGCACTCAATGCAGAGAAATATTAAGTCATTTGAGTCATTCAGACTGAGCTTCTGTGCAAGAGAATGTCAAAAATATAGTGGGATTGCAAATTAAACCTGTAAATTATGCTTTTGTGCTAAAGTACTAAGTCATGTGACTAAGCTATTTTTAGAGACATGAAATGTTTTTTTCCCCAAGTGCTGTTCTTAAAATTGTTTACTGAAACATTCAGCAAATAATCAACAATTTCCCTAGTCTTTCTTGAGAAGAATACTCTTAAAATAACAAACTATGTTAACATAAAATTAAATATTCAGGCACCTTAATGCAAGCTCTGTATCATTACTTGGTCTAATAAAACAGTGTTTAGTGAGCTCATGCTGGCTGTCTGTAATGTAGTATGCTGCAGACCTGTACAGAATGATTTATGAATGTTTCTATTGCAATAATACAACATCTTTCATTGTTTTACAAAATCTAACAATTAATTCTAGTGGATTTCCCCCCCCAAAAAAAGTGATTCTCAATAGACTGAAATGGAAGACCAAACCTTCCTTTATTGTAAGAAGATAAAAGATAAAAACCCCTTGATAACTTTATTTGAATTTTTTGGTTTGAATATTGAAGCAACTCAGTAATATATGTTTAAGTACAACAGCAGAAGTTGAAATCCTAATATTTTTGGATCAGCCATATTGGTCATGAATGCTTTAAATGATTCTTGTTGTCCAATGTGCATTTGTAGATGAAAACTTTTGTAATTAAATTCAAGTATTTAGATAATGTGGTGCTCACTATGAACAAGCAACAAGAATCAGAAAGAAGGAAGTAAATCAGCATTTGAGTATGTGTTCAAACCACCCAACCATAAGAGTTATTTTAAATAGGCCATAGACCTAATTATACTTTTGTGTAATATTAGCATTTAGCAAGTTTAAATAAATACTTCTTCAAACACATATGAAGTTGTTACTCCCAAAAGACTATATTTTTCCCTTCTGTGCATGTAATGCTTTGGTTAGCATTAATGGGACTTGTGAGTGCAGATGGAAGAAAGACTATATCCAAAATCTCTGTTCCATTTAGTTGTGAAGATAAATGATACTAAATCAATGCTCTTTATTTTGATAGATAAAAATGTTACCCTAATGCTTTTTCTCCCCTCAGGGAAAAGTTTCTTTGACTTATTTTTCTTTTATGAAAAAAAACCTATGGCAGATTCAATATTTCAAACAATTTTATTTGTAACATGGTGGATGAGCCACTTATAGCATGTTTTGAAAACTAAAACTAGCTGCTACCAGTATAGACGTTTTGGCATTCTTTTTTAAATAATTTAGGATAACGTTTAATGGTGTTTTGGTGCCAACCTGCAACTATCATGCACTAAAATAAAATGAATGTCTCTTTAGGATTCTAATCTACGTAGATAAAGACATTAAGATCAGTTCTTATATTTTGAATTTGAGTGATTCTGAGCCCTGAAGAGATGTTTGCAATTTTTGGACATGATCCTGCACACACTTACTTACATACATATTCTTACTGTTTTCAACAGAGTTGCATGTGCAATCAAAGGGTATTCATAGGATTAAATGTGCACAGGATTGGTCCCTTAAAGGTAAATTAAAAACAAACAAACAACTGCCTAATCTACGTCAATGTTGAAATATTAGGGGCAAGCCAAATATCATATACCAATTTCAGCTTACTTTTGTACTGTGTGGTAAAGAGCTGACATGTAACATCAGTTTACTATTACTAAAATTACATTAATAGGCAATTTAGATATAAACGAAAGACCAGATGTGGATGATAAATTATAGAAAATTGCTGGGGTAACTTCACACCACATGTGCTTACAGTCTACTTAGCCATACATATGGAGAATTCCCCACAGTGTAGGGAAATCCTTGGGTGCATAGAGGTACTGTAGGGGCTCCAATGTCGCCTCCCACCTTCCTGAGCTGCCATTGTGAGGGCTATGCCAGGGCAAAATGGAACATGCTTGGCTGATCAATAATTGCTGGAACAACCTTTTGGGGCAGTGACAGTCAGTGCAAATTTGAGCAGCCTCTACTTACATTGTTCTAATTTATGCTTGGTATTTGACTGTTGCACAGATGGTCCTGGGATTAGGACAGTGCAAGAAGGGCGTAGAGCCATTCATGCCACCCTCTCTCCCTTCCTCCTGCTCCAGTTTCTATATATTAAGATGTATGCCATATAATTTCTTCTCAGAGATATGTGGCTGTGGCTTTTTTTTTTTTTTGGGGTACAATTACAGTATTATCTGATTATCATCACTTTAAGGGACAGTATTTCAGATGTGTAGCAGGTACACTTGCATTGGTATGAAATGTTCTTGCACTTACTCAGTTAAGTATGACAGCTTATGTTTTAAAATACGTGGCAATACTTGTCACTCATGTGGGACTAAAATGTGGCTCTTATACTTTTTGGACTGAATCCTGGTCCCATTGAAGTCAATGGCAAAAAATTCTATTTACTTTCTTGGGACCAAAGTTTTGCTCTTAAATTGTGTAGGAAAATATGGATATAAAGTAACTGTCAATAAACAAGCAAACAAAAGAAAAACCATTTTAACTTCTGCAAACTCTCTCACTCATGAGTAGTCCCCCACTTCAGTTAATGGGTATCCCATTAATAAACATAAGAAAGAACTACTTGTGTACATAAGGATTTGCAGGATTTGGCCCTACTGAAACATTTATAAAGTATTCTGTATTAAGTTTTCCCATTCTTAGTTAGTTATCTCTACACCTGACAGATGGTCTCCTGAAAAGGGGTCCAGAAGCTCAAGCATTTCTATAACAACAAAAAGCGGGTGATTTTACCCCTTTTATTTGCCTCCACTCCATGAACAATTACCACACATACATCTCTTTTGGCCCATGAAGCCCATTAACTATAGGGGTAATAATTCAATAAATAAACCATCTTTGTATATATGACATTTTCTTATATCTTTATTTTCTCCATCTGCTAGAGCCAGTCAGAAAATAGAAACCCCTTCAGCAAATAAATTTTGCAAGGTGTGTGTGTGTGTGTGGGTGGGGTGGGGGTGGGGATCATTCCAAATTGGGACAAAAAGCCAAAATGGCAACCTTTTTTTCCAGGAAGGGATTTCTAGAAAAATTCAGTTTTGGAAGAACCAACACAGAATTCTTCCATTTCCCATCTGGAAGACTTGTCAGTTTCACTTTCTCACAGCAGATAAAGTGAAATTGATAAGATGCAGAGAGGGGGATGCTCAGCCAGAGAGTTAGGACACAGCCTCTGGCAGGCTGCTTGGAAGCCATTATTTTGATTTTCCTCATGGAAAACAAACTTTTCAGCAAAATTGAAATTTTCCTGTGAAAAATTTTGATTTTCTGATCAGGGCATTTTCTATTGGAAAATTATTCAGAAAGAAAAGTCTCAACCAGCTCTTCCATCTACATTATTCAACCTGAGTGAGTTGTTTAGGGAATACACTTCTCAGTTAGAAAAGTCTCTCTCTCCCCATCCCAACATGCATTATTTTGGTTTATTATACAAGTCATGTGATCAGAAGTGGTCCAACTAAAAAGTACTTATTGCTTTTCAATTAACAAAGTAAGGTACAGTATTTAATTGTAGCAGGAAGCAAAAACTGACCTTTTTCCTTGCTAAGGATTAGACATAAGGTGGGTATGTTCATCCTGTTCATTCTAAGATGAAAAACAAAGGACTAGTTGATAGAGAAGATACACAAATGTATATTATAATAAAAGTTTAACCTTTAATAATTCTCAGTTTGCCCAAAAATTTTATAAACTCACTTGGGTAGACAAATTTCGTAGTCTTTTATTTCTACTAGCAAATGACTTTGAAGCAACTGCCTGCTTGTTAACACAAAGGCACATCGTTTTGTTTAAAACACCACAAGCATGGCAAAATAAATCTGATGTTTAAATCTGTTCTAATCAAGATTATTTTTATTTTAGCAATAATATTAATAAAGTGCTCAACTGTGGGTTTGCCTTTACTTCAGAGTAAGGGGCAGTGTAGTTTTGTGCTCCCTGAATCGCAATCTCTCTCCTATTCCAGCAAGGGATTAAAATTATGCCAGGTTTATTCCTACTCTCTGTTGCCTGGTGTATTGACAGTGGGGGTGACAGACTCAAGGCTCCACCCAGTGACTACACTCATTGGGCCCCCTTTCTGTTCATTTGCAGGAGGGAGGGATGCAGCAGCTCTTTGGTCTCTGCTTACCCACTCAGGAGGCTACCCATGAGGGGATTCTCAAAGCTGTACTGTAAAGACACACTTTGCACTCCATTCCTCTCGTGTGCTGCATTCAAGCCAGGGCAAAATTTGGCCCCATATAGTAATTATTTGGGGTATTTACCCCATCAAGTCCCCAGTTGGCAAATAAATATTTATAAGCTGCAGAAGTCTCTGTCATACTTATAAATATTTAATCAAATCATTTTTTGTATAAAACAAAGAAGAACTCAGAGGTAGGACTCTAGGTCAGAGTGCTGTTATTGACTCTTGGGGATAAATTCATGGGATTAACTGCATCACTTCCACAGCCTCTCTCTATTAAATAGAAGGAATTTTAAATAAAGATTACTCTACATTTGTGTGTTCTTTTATCCAATCACCAGTCAGATTACTGGCCAATCAAGAATTTTTGAAAATTGGCCTTAAAAAAGAATTTTAACAGCCAGTAGCAAAAGACAAAAATAAATTAATAATAATAATAATAATAAAAAAATCCTGTTAGTTTTTGTAAGTACATCAGAAGCAGGAAGCCTGTCAAACAACCCAGGGGGGCCTTTAGGTGACTGAGGTGTTAAAGGAACACTCAAGAAAGAAAAGGCCACTGTGGAAAAGCTAAATGAATTCTTTGCAACAGTCTCCATTGGAGAGGATGTGAGGGAGATTCCAGTACCTGAGCCATTCTTTTTAGGTGACAAATCTGAGGCATTGTCCCAGATTGTGGTGTCAATAGAGGTGGTTTTGGAATAAATTGATAAATGAACAGTAATAATGATTAGAAGTATGGAACAGCTCCCATGAGAGGACAGATTAAAAAGATTGGGACTATTCATCTCGGAAGAGAGATGCCTAAAGGGGAGATATGATAGAGGTCTATAAAAATCATGAGTAGTATAGAAAAAGTGAATAAGGAAGTGTTATTTACCCCTTCACATAACACAAGAACGAGGGGTCACCCAATGACATTAGTAAGCGGCACATTTAAAACACACAAAAGTAAGTGCTTCTTCACACAACACACAGTCAACCTGTGGAACTCATTACTGGGGACGTTGTGAAGGCCAAAAGTATAACTGGGTTCGAAAAAGAATTAGATAAGTTCATGGAGGATAGGTCCATCAATGACTATTAGCCAGGATGGTCAGGAATGCAACCCCATGCTCTGCGTGTCCCTAACCCTCTGACTTCCAGATGCTCGGACTGGACAACAGAGGACAGATTACTAAAAAGTAAGCCTTATTGTGAGGGTATAAGGGGGAAGTAATTGGTGCAATGACCTTGTGCTGGCTCTTTCTACAGGGATGAATTTAATCAAAGAAGATATGATTTTTTGAGAAATCACATAACATTTAACATGAGGTATCTACTTGTCTGTGTATAATAAGGATAAAAAGTAACTTTGCAAATGTGGTATTACAGACATTTACCAAAGTATAATGAACAGAATAGATGTGTTGCTACTGCAGCAATATACAAGAGTTTTCTACTAAGGAAGCTCAAGAGGAGAAGGCTGAAATATTTTTACATCCAGTGGGAAAAAAAATGTACTCAGACTGAGGTCTCAGAGGCATGATTTCAGAATAAAGTTGGGAGAGAGAGCCAAGAACAATCATATTTTCTTCATTTTTTAGGTTATGGACAACATAACCACAAAAGTCTATTAACTGTTTTACTAAAGAGTCCTCATGAAATAGCCATCTGAAATCTCACACACAAACTGTCTTGCCAGCCAGCATCATACAATTTTAATAAAGCATTTTTATTCTAGTCCCTAATTGGCCTTGGGGAAGTACTGTGTCAAGAAAAAATGGAGAGGAGTACCCAGATATCCTGTTTTCAGCATGTGTGAGATAGAACGTATATACTCTACAGTACACTAGGTCAGACAAGAAAGGGTTCTTTTCATAAGGAATAAAGGAAGCCAAGGGCCTGAGCCACTCCAGAAAAACTGCTCAGTCTACCAACTGGAAAGAAGCAATCTACCTAGGGTCATCAAGAGAGTGAAGACAAAAAGGAGGGTAAGGAGCATATGGATGTGCAGAGGGAGGGAGGGAAGAAGTGTGCTCTCTCTCTCTCTCTCTGGAGGCAATAGAGTGAGGAAGCTGCTAAATCCGCCCCAAAAGGATGGAAAACCTGGAAATCTGATTGCTTTGTCACAATCTAAGAACTATACTTCTTGCCAGAAACAAAGTTAAAACTCAAGTGAGCTGGTTTGAGTCTTCCCTATGAACGAAGCTGAGAAAAGCTGTGGTCCAAACTCTCAGCAAGACCAGAGAGCTCCAAAGATGTGTACATAAAAGAGATGATATTTTGTTTCTCCTTGTGTTATGTTGTCTTTGATATCTGAGACTATGTAACATCTTGTGTGCCCTTGTACCTAATGGTACATGAGTCCTATTAATAAATACTAATATGGAATATTTGTATTTCTTAAAATTTAAAAGTGTTTTAACATGTTTAATACACCATAAAGACATTAATGGAGTAACAGAAGTGTACTGTGTGACACAAATAAAGGTAAATAAATGCAGCTCCCTGCTTCATTTTAGGTTTTTGCGAGGTCATCAACTCTTGCAGGAAAAATAAAGATCTCTGAACTCAGGCTTTTTTCAGATAACACACCTTTCAGTGTTATTTTTAAAATGTATGCATTTCCAATGTTTTCGCTACCCAGGCATCTTGGCTCCATTGAAGCCAATGGCAAAGCTTCCATTGACTTCAACAAAGCCAGAATTTCACCCTGTTTTGGATGTAGTGTCCTTTCACAATGTTCATTTACTTATGGAAAAAAAAATTCAGTTCACTTTTATATATTAAAAACTCCCATCAATGAAGATAGACTTTAAATACCTGTACCACACATTGAAAACTTTTTTCACACGTAATCAACAATAGCAATAACTTTCAGGAAAACACACAGTGAGGATAAAACAACACCAACAATTTGTGTGCTTATGCAAAATTAGAATCTACTAGGATTGGAAGACCTGTGATCTAGATTTTTGTGTGTGCTCGGTTCAGTTTCCTCCAGTGTTGGGTATTCAAGGAATACGAACATGAACACACATGGTTTAAGATTTCTGGAAATAGTACAATTTCCTAAAAGTATTACTCAAACAAAACAGAGGTGCAGGAATCAAAAAGACATTTTATGAGTGGGGAGTTCTTACATTTTAATTAGTCTGGATTCTGTCTGATCACTCTCCAATGACTATTGCATTTTGCTAACTTCAATAGGGAGTCCTAAGAGACTCTTCATCCTTACAATTTCATGCTTTTTGCAGTTAAATATCAGGCCCATAAAATCTCTTTCTTGGATACACATACAAAAATAAAATTAGCTCTGAATTCAGGGCTTCTCTTAGTGACATCCTGTCTTAGGGCCTATTAACTATTATAATGATTCTGTGAACTGGCTAAAGTCTGCTACAACAGTAGAGTAATACACTACTTAGCATGGCCTTTCTACTGGAACAAGACAAGCAGTCATTTACTTTTAACATACTACACTGTAGAGGCATCAGAGTTTGGAAACCTGAAAACCATGCAGCTTTGGTGAGTCTTGCCACAACAGTGACTGTGACAGAAAACATCCATGACTTTATGGGCCACCCAAGTCTTCATGAAACTCAGCCAAAAGGCTAGCTGTTATCACCTATAAAGCAGAGGTGAGCAAACTATGGCCCACGGGCCACATCTGGCCAGCGGGACTGTCCTGCCTGGCCCTTGAGCTCCTGGCCCGGGAGGCTGGCCCCTGTCTCCTCCCCTGCTGTTCCCACTCCCACGCAGCCTCAGCTCACTGCACCGCCGGCACAATGCTCTGGGCGGCGGGCTGCGAGCTCCTGGGGCAGCGCAGCTGCAGAGCCTCGGCCTGACACAGTCTCTGTGGTGCGCGGTGCCTGTCCTGGTGCAGCCGCACCGCCAGCCACTGGTGCTCCAGGCAGCGCGGTAAGGGGGCAGGGAGTGGGGGAAGGGTAGATGGGGCAGGGTTCCCGGGGGCAAGAAGCGGGGGAGGGAGGGGTGGTCAGATAGGAAGTGGGGGCCAGGCTACGCCTGGCTGTTTGGGGTGGCATAGCCTCCCCTAACCGGCCCTCCATACAATTTCAGAAACCCGATGCGGCCCTCAGGCCAAAACGTTTGCCCGCCCCTGCTATAAAGAGAGAGCTTGACCACTGAATCTCAGATTCAAAGTGAGTTGAGGAACACAGGAGTCTGAGTTTTCTGGTGGAGCATTTCACACAAGCAGAGATGGTTGATTATATACAGTGATGTACTATAGTCATAACATTCTATATTTGTTCCTCCCCTCCATCTTATGGATTGTTTGATTGAAACTACCAAAGGAGGAAACAATGGGTGAGCAAGGAGAAATCTAGAACAAAGATATAGAAAAATGATTTCACACAGTAGGTGCGTTTTAGGGACAATATCTCAAGGTAGTACCCTAAATAGGCCTATGGAGGACTAAGACAATCCTTAAAAAAAAAAAAAAGGTACTACCAATAACTCCCTCCCGAAAAGATTCAGGAATGCTCTAAGAAAGCTTTGGAAAAATATTGAAACTCCAGAATTAGCCTGGTATTTATAGCATAGCTTCCGAGTGCATTCTTTGAACTTCCTAGCGTGTTGTTTTTTCCATCTGCTAACTGTCAATATGGCATAACCTTATATTTTGATTATACAAATGTACAAAAAGAGCTTTTTAAAAAAAATTACAGTAGAGTTTTGGCTTCATTTCTTAGTGCGAGTCAGCTACTCTGGCATCAAAAATATAATCTAGGTCAGAGATAATGCTGAGGCTTTTCTCATGTAAATAAGTAGCATTCCACTGTTTAATTATGTCAAAGTATATTATAACCATTTATGAGTAATGCCTATATGAATCACATTGTCACAAAAGATGTTAAGTTCTATCACATGAAAATATTCAGCTTCATATACTATCTGAATGAAATCAATTAAATCCAGGTCAAGAATGTATTTTCCCCCTCACTTAATTAGCAGCAAAAACATGGAAGGCGTGCCCTGCTGGTCTTAAACAAAGAGTATGAATTGCAAAATTGTTTACACTTCCAATTCATCTTGGTTAAATACTGAAATTCTCTTCTCTATGCTGCTCTCTTGATTAGTTTTCTAATATTAACTCAATCTTTTGTAGAATTTTATTGCCTGGAATATATTTAGCAATAATCTTTCTCATCATAGCATACTAATATCAAAATAAAATAAAGTATGTCTCAGTATAAAAATGTATTGATTTTTAAAGAAATACTTACTTATAATGCTCTTCATGGCCTTGCTTCTAGTTACCTTAGGGACCTTTTGGTTTCTTAAATTTCTGGGTGCACATTCAACTTTGCTTCCGAGACTCTCCTGTCTGTAGTTTGGCTATGGACCAAGGTCACTGGGGCTAGGTCCTTTTCTTATTATACCCCTCATCTGTGGAACTCTTTGCACCCCAAGTTACATCTGTTGAGTCAGTAATATTGTTTACATTAAACCACAAATCAAATATTTTGATTTCACTTTTTCACTTTTCTTGGCCGTTCTGTAAAAATTCTCAAACTACTTTATACTCTGTACCATAATTTTATTTATTAAAAGAAAAAAAGAGGAAGGGGTGGAGAAAGAAATAAAGATATCTTTTGCTAAATCATGGAGGCTATTACAGTCTACATCCAAGAATCAGAAACACTGGATCTGTTAAAAAAGGGTAATTAAGGTTTGTGCAATGATAGTAATCATATAAAAAGGTGTACATTTAAAGAAACACTTTCTCAAACAAATTCAGTTATATTACCCATCGCTGATATGAGCTAAACACTCTAGGTTTTAAGTATCACAGCAAATAATCCTAATAATTTAAAGACAATACTGCAGTTAATATCACAAGATAAAAGATGTAAAAAATATGCATCATGCAGTAGTATTTCTCTCTCTCTCTCTGTGTATTGCAAACCTGAATGGCCTCAATTCTGCAAAGCGATCTGCCAATACAGGTTGTGAACCATTCACTGAGATTTTGTGCAGATACATGAATGCTGGAACATTCCATTGCAGAAACAGTGCCTGGATGGCACTCAATGCTGCCATCTCTTTAAAGAAGACAGCACTGCATTGTCATTGAGGTATTTACCCTAGCTGCAACATAGTGTGCTGCAATCCATAAGTTTCTCTAGAGCAGACTTTTAATGTGGCAGTTTCAGTTTCTCTGCCACGGAGAGCAACTAGGAGTCATTGCATAGCCCTTTAATTCAATTAGCTGGTTTCTTTTAAAGGAGAAAGGCATTGGATCCAATCAGGTTGAAGGCAGATTGAAAGGAGAGCTAACGTAGGGCATGGCTACACTTGCAGATGTAGAGCACTGTGAGTTAAACCCACCTTCGTAGAGCGCAGTAGGGATTCCGCTGCAGTCTGTCCACACTGACAGCTGCTTGTGCACTGGCGTGGCCACATTTGTGGTACTTGCAGCAGCATTGGGAGCAGTGCATTATGGGCAGCTATCCCAGCATGCAAGTGACTGCAACGTGCTTTTCCAATGTGGGGGGGTGTGGTGGAGTGTGATAGGGAGTGTGTTGTGTGTATGTGGGGGGGAGAAAGAGTGGGTTTTGGGGGGGGCGTGAGAGCATGTCAGCATACTGTCTTGTAAATTCAGACAGCAGCAGACCCACCCTCCCCCCCCCCGCCCTCTCTCTCTCTCACACAGCATTCCACATTAATCTGTCTCAGAGCAGATAAGCAGCCGGCTGTCAGAAACTGAGCTTTCAAACGGCATATCCGCATTTCTACAGCGAGTTCAAAACAATGAGAAAAGTGGCCATTTGACTTAAGGGGATTAAGGGACGTTTCCGGAGACAGATCAGAGCACAGTAATGCAACACCTCGTCCACACTGGCGCTGTGGCGCTCCAGCGGGGGCACAGCAAACGTTATTCCACTCACTGAGATGGAGTACCAGCAGCGCTGTAGCCGCGGAGTCAGAGCGCTCTCCGTGCCTTGCCAGGGTGGACAGGGAGTGAGCTAGTGCGTCCAGGGCTGCTTTAATGCACATATTTTTGGGATTTTAAAGAATGTCTGTTGAATCAGTTCTAGTTTATAGACTATATAATTAGGATCTTAGGAGGGAGCTGGTACAATTGGGTTTTACAATCAACAAGTAACACCCACCCTCACATACCCAATCCCACTCCCATAAAACAAAAAATCTATCAGGTTTACTGGATCTTCACTGGAATATGAAGGTACAATGTGGTACCAAATCTTGAATATATTAAATTACAAACTTAATCCATTATATTAAATATTATTACTGAATGTCTTAATTAAGCATGTGAACAAAACCCTTCAATTTTCTTGGAGAATATTTCATCTTTAGTTTTTATTAACTTCATTAGTGCTGGTAATTGATAATCATGAGATTTTATTAGTTGAAAATAGTACTTCCTCAATGTAACAGTAAAACTGAGTCAGCGTTTAATTGGAAAATAGGCATCAATATATTAAAGAAGAATCACATTATTTACTAGGTCAACTGAATCTCTTATGGAGCTGTTACAGTCTTTCACAGGCAGAGGATTTAAATATAAGCTTAATGTGTTCATCTAAACAGTATGTTATAAATTTATGTTATTGTAGGGCTTTAACATTTAGGTTTTCTTAAAATATGGGACACAGTCTTATATATATATATATTTATTCATGAAAGGTGATAGGCTAAAATCTGTTTACATTGGATGCTTCTATCCATGTACAAAGCAGGTATGGACAAGATAATGGCCCTCCAATATGCCTGAAACCTTACCTAAGAAAAAGATCATCTCTAAGGCTAAAAACAGGTCATTCTTCACAGCTTTTAAGCCCACGGCCTCTATTGAGTCGGCAGATGATACCAATCAAATATGGTAGCATCTTTTGTCATATGGACTCTTTAGATTTCATACATAGGTAGCTGTCTACCCATTAAGCATTTTCAATCCCTAACTCATGCCAACAGTTCCAATGAAAGCTTGTGTGAATATGGTTTTACAGGATTGGGCTCTCAGCTGTGGACTTTAACTGCTAGTTTGTGGGTATCCAAGAAAATGAATACTGTAGAATTTTCAATACAGAATTTTCAAATCTTAAATACAGACACCACACTTTACTACATAAGGATTTTTTTTCCCCCGAGAGAAAATATCTGAAATCTGCAACGGCAAATTCATTCCTTTGTGTATATGCTACATGCAATATCTTTTTCATTCAAAGAATGAAACTTTAACCTTACAATGGCATTTTATTGTAAGACACTCTCTGAAATAACTGAAATTTCTTAAAGAAATTGGTGTATCTAAATAAACCATTGCATCACGCATAAAGACCCTGTGCACCAGAGGTTTAACAACACAGCATTTGTTTACCCAAGCAAAATAAATAAAGCTCTAAAAAACATGATATAACAGTGTTTAAAAATTTATTATGCAAAATATTTAAGCCATCCTTCTTTATACTATGAATACAATACACTAGAGTAAAACTTATTTCTTAATTTCGTATTTAAATGTATTCCTAATGTACAGTTGAAGTAAAAGTAATGTTTACTTACAAAAAATGTACATATCCTCCCTTAACCATACAAGTCTAATCAATGTGCATATTACAGAACAAATTTACTGGGAACAGTGTATTTCGATGAATACAGCTTACTTCCACCTAGGATTTCAGTACCTACATCACATGGACAATTGACAATAATCTTAAGTATAAAAAGTCTCAAAGTCACCAAGAATTCTGCAGCAGATTATTTTCTAATCTCAGCTTGAATGTATACATGATTTCTCCACTAATAATTTCTAAACCAGATAATGCCTTATGCTATACAAAGTGACTTTTTGAACACATGGAAATGGAAATGTACAAGACAGGTTATTTTGCAATAAAAACTGTAATGTTAATTACTTCAGACATTCATATTCATTATACATATATGTACACGTGCTCATCAGCATTATAAATGCCGTTGAACAGCTATGATGTGTGATTTTATAAAACACATTGCCCACCTATAGTTGATAAAGAGAGCATCCTATGTGCACTGGCTAAGGGCATTGTTGTTGTTCACAGGTATCAAACAGACACTCCCAACTATTTTGCTTCTCCATTACCAAAAAGGCCTCCCTTTTTTTCTGTCTCCTTTCATCCAGCCTCTTTATCTTTCTTCTCCTCTACCTCTCTTGGTCAAAGATTTAGCTTTAGTCTGATCTGCGTTCTCAGGGATTGGGTTCTAGACCAGTCTTTTGGTTGGATGGCTTGTTCATGCAATACAACTCTCCCAGAATGACCTCCCCATGAAATGTGGCACACTGAGCAGCATCTAACTTATGACTAAAGATTCCGCTGGTGATCAGGAGCTGTTACTTTCCTTGGTAACAATAGGAAAATCAATTTCTATAAAGATTTAATAACTCCATTTTTTTGTATTGGACATCTAACTTAATGAATGCCTGTGAAAATGAGGTAGGATCAGAGGCTAAAATAGGGAAAAAAACAAGTTAAAAATTACTTAGACAAGTTAGCTGTCTTCAAGTCACCAGAGCCTGATGAAATACATCCTAGAATACTCAAAGAGCTGACTGAGGAGATATCTGAGCCATTAGCAATTATCTTCCATGGAAGCATATAATTAAGCATTTTATTTTTCCATCACCTAGATGATAATAAGGTGATAAGTAACAGTCAGCATGGATTTCCTGTCAAACCAACCTAATAGCTTTCTTTGACAGGGTAACAAGCCTTTTGGATTGGGGGGAAGTGGTAGATGTGGTATATCTTGACTATAGTAAGGCTTTTCATATGGTCTCACATGACCTTCTCATAAACAAACTAGGGAAATACAACCTAGATGGAGCTACTATAAGGTTGGTGCATAAATGGGTAGAAAACTATTCCCAGAGAGTAGTTATCAGTGGTTCACAGTCAAACTGGAAGGGCATATCTCGTGTGATCGGTACACTTATAAAGTTTGCGGACAATACCAAGCTGGAAGGGGTTGCTAATGTTTTGGAGGATAGGATTAAAATTCAAAATGATCTGGACAAACTGGAGAAATGGT